ATTTCCTCCACAAATTCATCACAAAATTAGCAACTTGATAAGACCCCCGGTTCACCTCTAACACCCTACTTACAAGGGTTCTTTTTAGTTGTTAGTTTTGCCCATTCTATACTGCAAATCAACTTGGCGCCGTTGCCGGGGAGACGGTTTGAGTTTTTTTTAACATAAGTTTTATTGTTTATTTGTTGTAAATATTTGTTATTATTTTGGTTTCCTAACCTCTTCTTGCAGGTATTAAAAAAACAAAAAAAACAAAACAAATATTATGGAAATTTTTGTTTATGTATGTGATATAAACACTAAAAACTATGGCTTCTTATGTTACTGTTGCTCACCAGGCTTAAAAAAGAAAACCAATACTTGCTAAAACACAAGTATCTTTTTGAGGAGCTACTTCAAATTAGAAAACCTAACTCATTGACTCTTGTTTGAAATATTTTGGCATGTTTGAAAAATAACATGGTTCCTGAAATGATAAACCTACCAAAAAGGTGATCTTACTAAGACTGCTAACTTTGGTGATACTTTCAATGCTCCTCTTCCATCGAAAGCGGATGTAAATGAATTGAACTACTAGATAGTTTTACATTACATGGTCCATAAGGAAAATAAGTTTTCTATGAGTGAAAAAGTAGTAGCTGTTGTGCCAGCATCTACCTTTGAAGTGGGTACACGTAAAACTCATATAGGTTACCAACATATTTCCCAAACGTGTCCCTAATTCAGCAAACTCTAAAACTACAGCTTCAAAATCAGCATCTTCCTTGCATGTGAACATGGGAAAAAAATATTCTATTCTTTTAGAGGCTACAACTAAGGAAGAAAAAATTGGGTGATGCACATGAAACCCCACCTAAAGGGTCTTCGGATGGCATAGGAAGCATCCCTTTGGTAGATAATGATCCTCAATATGATCCCAAACTAAAAACTAAGCCTCTTTATGTTATTGTAGCTCCACCGGCTTAAAACAGAAAACCAATAGTTGCGAAAACATAAGTATCTTTTTCAGGAGCTAAACGCTCATCAACTTAGGTAATTATAGGCATCCCAAGAGGATATAAACACTACATAATCGGAGACCCAAAAAAAGATTATCATTGAATACCAAATCCCTATTACCACCCTCTAAATTATGTTTCATTTGAACTGCACTGACCGGTTTTGACAGGTTCTTGGCATGACCGTATCTCATTCGTGTGCCTCAAGTACTACTCGTGGTCATTAATCTCGAGAAGAAAATTTGGGTTGCCAACCTATGCTCTATATAATTTATTTCATTATATTTATCATTAGGTTACTTGCATACATTAACATAGAATAATTATATATTTACACTTTAGATAAAGGATAATGTAAGAATTTATTAGGTCTCCTATCGAGAAGTGAAAGTTTAGACTTTTGTTCCTCAGTTCTTGAATTTTAGAGACTTGACTATTTGAATGCTAAATGCATTTTAAAAGTGATCATCTTTACCTTAAGGGTATATTTGGTTCTCTGATTTCACTAAGGAAATGAGATTCTTTTTACTATAAAAGTTATTTTATTATGATCGATGTTACCCGTTGAAATGAAAAGGAAAGTCTTAGATTCTAAGAGTGTCTGAATGACACAACTCACGTGTTCAACCATTGTGTTCTGACATAATCTAAAGTTTTCTTTTAAATGAAAGGTAATATGAAAGCAATTGATATATTTTAAGCTTCAAATGCACTCCTACTTTGATGATAGCTAGACACGTGGCTGACATTATTTTATACATGCATAGAAATTTATACGTTCTATAGTTTAGGTACACACATAGTTATTGCAATCATAATCAAAAGTGATGTGTTTCTCGCAAGTTTTCAATATGCACACTTAAAGAGAGGACCAGATCTGACTTATTTCCTAAGTCTTTGAGGGTGTGTTTGGTTCAAAAGAGAAGATTTTATTCGCCGTTTTGAAGTTAAATTTGGGTTTTCCTTACTTTGATGATTACTCGTTGACATAATTAAACATATAATGGAAGTAAATATTTAGTTATGTAATTATGTTATTTACACTGAATGATTTATGGACCAAAGTTCAAGATCTCTTCGCATACTGTTTATCCCAAAGGAACCAGACTTTTTCTAGCTTAAACTGTCATATCAGTGTTGCAATTATGATTAATAGATTTTACTTTTATTAATATAGGTTTATAGAAAGAATGGTACTGCTATAATGAAACTTTGGTGGGAGCTGTTAGCAAGATTTGACAAGGTAAGCTGTTAACACATCATGGCTACAACTAATGATTTCAATTATAAGCATATTTAGATTTCCATGTAAGAGGAATATATAGTGCATTGCAAATATGTTTAGCCGGATGATTAAATGATAGTACTCTAAAAGAGTACTTCGATAGACATGGAATTGGAACAAATTAATGTAACTTTTATGTGTTGGCACACCAAAAGCACGTACTGTTTTTCCATATACCTAGCTAAAGTAGTTACTTTCTGTCACTTTATACTGAGGTATTTTCCAGGTGAAAAAAATTGCTAGCAACCTCAAGTTTTATTCTAATAGAACCTGAATTCAAAACTGAAGCTAGAACTTTAGGAAACTCGTTATGTTTTAAAACCAAGAGTTTTTTATCATATAACTCACTCAAATATATGAATATACTTTCAAAGATAATTTTGAAAGTTGTGGAATTTTACACATCAGTTGGTGCATTTGAGTGGAATATTACTCTATTTGGCTTTTCAAGCAGAGGAATATACTTCCATTATTTTATACGAGTGGTTTGAGATTATAAGGCACTTATAAAACATAGTATCAATCTCTTTTATGGGTTCATATCAAGACAAGACACGACAACAAAATATTTGAAGCATTTAATGAAAGAAAAGTAGGCTCAACATGTTGTGTTTCTTGCTTCCTTTCTTTTCATGTGCTCTACAATTTGGTCAATTGCTGCACGTGCTTTGACAGCATTTTTGAAAATGGGTTACTGGCATTCAGCAGAAGAATATAATCTCAAGGTCATACTCTTACTCCTACTTGATAACAACAGAAGTTTAATTTTTTAATTTGTTCTAAGGTGTGATTTCTCCTGACCATATGTACTACTTATAATTATAAAACTTTTAACTTCTATTGATCGGGCAGTATGAGTTAGTCTACTGTAACATGATGATCAATTTGGGTAGTCATTATCGTCACAAATTGTTGATGAAAAAGTATTGAAATAAGCAAATAAGGGTCAATATAGAAACATTTTATTTGGAAACAACAATGAAAATATTGATGCTCATCACATTATTTCTGTTACGTTTACACTCATGCTGAAACATCTGCTTTTCTTCGGGAGTTGACTCTTAAGTCTATGTTGGGTTGGCACCTAAGCTATGTGAATAATGTACGTAATCCATTCATTCTATATTTATATAACCTTCATTTGGAGTTGGCATGCTTTTGCTGAAAATAAAGGAGGCATTTGTTGTTTTACTAATTTAACCTTATTAATAAGAGAACAAATGTAATATGGGCCACACAAAAAGTAAAAGGATGGAATGATACATGGATGTAAAAATTCAATGAGATTTAAATAAGGAAATACTCCCAACATCTTTAGCAGAAGAATAATCTCAAGGTCACACTCTTAATCCTACTTGATAACAGCAGATTGTTTATTGTAAGCTGCGATTTCTCCTGTCCATATGTACTACCTTTAATTGTAAAACATTTAACTTCTAATGATCGGGAAATATGAGTTAGTCTACTGCAACATGTTGATCAATTTGGGTAGTCATTATTGACAAAAAATGTTGATGAAAAATTATGAGTAAATTCCCAAAATAGTCCTTTGTAATAAGGTGTTTTCCAAATTAGTCCTCAATAAGTTTTAATTACCGATGTGATCCTCTATAATTGAGATATATTTCCAAAATAGTCCTTTGTAATAAGGTGTTTTCCCAAATCAGTCCTCAATAAGTTTTAATTACCTATGTAGTCCTCTATAATTGAGATTTATTCCCAAGATGGTCCTTCGTAAATAATGTTACTCAAATGAGGATTAATTGAGTTATTTTTTCTCTGCTAAATTTAGAATCAAATCTTAAAATAATCATTTATAATGAAGTACTTTCCCAAAATGTTTTTTCTAATTAAAGATGTGTATTTGATTTAAAATTTAAAAGATTTTTTTAAGTTTTATAAATGTATTTGGTTTATCTCTATATAATAAGGTGTTATCCCAAATCAGTCTTCAAATGAGGATTAATTGGGAGATATTTTGGTATTTTGATCATCCAAATTTAAAGTATATTCTTGAAACAATCATTTCTGTACAATTAAATGTAAAATTTAAAAAATGCATTGACTATAAATAATTTATGAATTATTTAAAACTTAAAAAAATCTTTTAAATTTCAAATCAAATACACATCTTTAATTAGAAAAACCATTTTGCGTGGTAAAGCACTTTATTATAAATGATTATTTTAAGAATTAATTCTAAATTTAGCGATAAAAAATACCCTCAATTAATCCTCATTTGAGTAATATTATTTATAAAGGACCATTTTGGGAATAAATCTCAATTACAATGGACCACGTAGATAATTAAAACTTATTGAGGACTGATTTGGGAAAATATCTTATTACAAAGGACTATTTCGGGAATAAATTTCAAATATAGAAGACCACGTAGGTAATTAAAACTTATTGAGGACTAATTTGGGAAAACTCCTTATTACAGAGGACTATTTTGGGAATTTACTCAAAAATTATTGAAATAAGGGTCAATATATACACATGTTCTTTTAGATTTGGTGTTGGTAACTTTTAATTCGTTCATTGCATAAATATTCACTTTTGTTTGCTAGGCAGTTAAAACTTTCAGAGGTGGCCCTGAATCAAGAGTTGTAGGCCTCGAGATTGGAATAATCTTATAGTTACCATAGGTGGGATGGATAGTGTGCTTTTCGAGAATGAGATCTAGGCGAGGTCACATATACGATACATCATGGACTGCCTTCCCTTTTTCCAACTCCACCCCCTCAAAACACACTTCCATGCAGTGGAAAACCTGATATACTTGTGGGCTGAGCATAGGTTTCTTAACGATCTCAAACAAGCTGAGTATCAAAGCATTACCCCTGATGCATTTGTGTTAAATGGGTATGCCCCGATGCATTGTATGTATATATTCTGTATGCGTACTTTGCATTGACTCATTGGTTAATAATTTACATCTTACCTTTGAACCCTGCACAAGAAACTACAAAATAATGAAAAACTAATTCCAAGAACAAAGGATGCATGCCACTTTTTATTTATTTCTAGGGATATTATTTCTCCACAATTTGTATTTTGGTTACCATTAATCTTATTTAGTTTTTTCATTGGTTTACAATATGACTTTCACATATTTCTGATCCTAATTTTAAGACAATATTTAGAAAATATTTAATATTTTTGTAAAATATTCAAACAATATTTTTATAAAATATTTATAAAATGGTTAATAATGGGTAAACAATGAGTATTTTATAAAACTTTCAAACAAGTATTACAACAACAAAAAATCTTGCAAAAAACATGATCGGGCACTTAAACCCGCGCAACGCGCGTGCAATTGCTAGTATATATATATATATATATATATATATATAGAGTTTGGTTCAAATAAGAATGAGATCTAATGAAAGAAATAAGAATGATTTATAGCCTTTGGATCTTGATCCGTGGGGATGATTCATATGGTTTACATAAGGGTATTTTGGGGTTTTTGGTTCTTAATCGTATCTCTTCTGTTATGTTTCCTTAAATTCGCACACACTTTCCACGCTTTTCGGCTTCGGTTCCTTCATCATCTACGAGACAATTCTTTTTTTGTTTCTTCATCTACGGCCGAACTCTACAGCAAATTTGGGGTTTGTTCTCAAAATTTCTTTTCAATATCTTAATCATTTCATCCATCATCTTAATCCTCAACCCATTCACCTTTTAACTTTTATTTGTTTTTTTATGTGGTGCAAAATTTTCCAAGGTTTAATATGGGCTAAATAGTCTCAATGATCTTAGATTTAATTTTATGTGTTTTTCGTTTGTTTCCTTTTGTGGTGGGGATCATCTTGTGTTGGTCTTAGTCTATTTGCTCATTTTTTTGTTCAAGGCATCAGGGTGAACACAAGGTATTTGATAAAATGCCCTAAAGAATCAAACAAACAAAATTGGTGGTGAGGACAACCCCAATGCAATCGGGGGATCTCTTAATGCCTCAAAACAATCTTCATATGCATTTTCATTAGCTAATTTTTGTCATGATTAGATTTCTCACACAATGTGATGCACTTTTATCATGAATAATTTTAGAATCAATCGTTTATTTGCTTCATTATGTATTCTAATATTTAAGTTCTGTGCATTTTTATGAATTTATACCAATTGATGAATCCATCTTTTCATTTGTTTCTCCTCTATGTATTCGAATGTTTAAGTTCTGTGCATTCTCATAGTCAAGGTAATGCATTGTTAGTTCACAGCGTTTTTAAGAAAAATCGAGGGTTGGTTTGAGCTACGTTACTGCCATATTTTATGTGGCTTTAGTACATTAAATTTGTGCATATACAAACAGGAAGTAGGCCTACTACATTTTATATATTTTTAAGTTTTCATCAACTAAAATACTTAAACGATCTCTGCCCATGTATGCTTTTCTTGAATTTGATTATCTTCTTGAATTTGATTATTGAGATGTTATTAGTTTTAACTTTTGCTACCTACACTTTCATGTATATATATATATAGGGTCAATGAGAAGTTTTTTTATTTCATGAAAAAATGTGAATAGATTTATGGATGCATTTTTTGAGGGATTGAATTTTGTGCGTAAGTCTATAAGGCTTTGAAAGTTGTGTTATTTTAATGCATTATGACTAATGTGATATGACACAATCATAGTCTAAAATGCACTATGGCTATTGTTTAGAAAGGTTCTGTATGTGGTCATGTGCTTCATTGTTTTTTATTGCTTAAGTCTAATATGATATTTAAGAGTATACTCTACGTACATGATGGTAATGTAACATGTAGTTGTAATTTCTACTTATGAATAAAAATCTATAGATATATTCTTTTAGTTTTTAAAAATATGCACTTGGTTTATTGAAATGTGCACTCTTTCGATTAATATTTTCTCACATATTTTGACAAACTTACATACTATTTGATAATGCTGACATTTTGAGAAACTTTTTTTTTGGGGGTAATCAAACTTTATTGATTCTGAGCAGGGGTAAAAAAGTAAATCCGGAGTGACCCACCACTTATGAACTGGTACATGGAACAAATACACATAATTGAATAATTCATCCACTTTTCTCCTTACAATATCTTCTTTCCTTTCTAAGCCTCTCCATCTTTTGGAATGTGCCAATAAGCAGATGTCTTCAAATCTGAACTGCTCTAAAAATTAGATTTGAGAGAAGAACTGAATTTTTTCAACCACTTGAGATTGTGATCCTTCTTCAGAAATCTTCCCGCATATCGGGTTTCCTCTTGGCCTGAATAGCAAGCCGTACATCTCTCTCCCGTTCAAACTCTTTGTAATCTGCACGCTGCAGGAAAGAGACCTTGTCTAGATACTGATTGGAACTCTTTTTTTATGCATCCAGTTCTTCTTCGATGCCTTTGTTTTCTCCCTTGCATTCTACCCAGTCCTTCTTTGTCTTATCTAGCATGCTAAGTTTCTGTTTCTTCTTCATTTGTTCAAGAACGGCGTCAACAGCAGAAACAGGCCCTGCCGGGGCTTTCCCTTTGTCTGATGCATCTTTTGAGCTCGTGTCAACATACTTCTTTACTTCAATTTCTTCACCGGCAAAGTCCCGAACTTCGGAAACCTCAATTTTTCCCTTGTTGAAAGGTGCAGCTACTGAAATAACATCCCTTGCAGCAAAAAGAGCAGCAGCAACCAATTTCTTTGCATCTTCACTTGTGTCCAACTGTATTGTCTTGGTTGGCTACTTCTCAGTTGCATTTTGGACAGAGGATGATGCTTTTTTTGGTGCTAAACCCAGCACTGTCATCTAATTCGCAGATGTCTTTGAACTTTTAATAGTACTTGCTTGACTAGTGAGCTATGCTTCTGTAATATGGAATTAAGAGTTTTCGTAGGAACTCCTTTGTTCATTTGCTTCCAAACAGCATCTACCCTAGCCTTCTGCTCGGCATCTTCAGAACGTGCCTCCAAAGTTTGATTAGGTGCAATGTCTTGGTTGGGCTTGTTTCCGGTACCATCTTTATTTTGTGATGCACTGTAAATAGGCTGCACTTGTGCAGTCATTTCAGCCATTAACCCTAGCCGGAGGAATGAGGTGGAAGCGGGGAAGGCGAGCGCCGCTGTTATCCGGTAGCGGCGAGGAGGCGACAGCAAGCCAGAAGCCGCGGCTTGAGAAACTTAAAATTCATGTATCTTTTTTAAAATCTCAATTGTTTGGATTGTTTGCCATTATTTTGCATGTGCTCCTTGATGCAACTAGAAATCATAATGTAAATGGTTATAATTCTGTAGATGGACCTGATATATTATTGGAGTCCATTATACTATGTATGATATTATATATTTTATTTTTTCGCACAGTACTACATTTTTATTTAGATGACAGTGCAACATGATAATGTGAATACTACATGCCTTATTAGTCTTTTGTGCAGAATCAATTTTGCAGTTTCAAGGACTTGAAGATTTAATATTGGATCTAGAAACTCATAAAGGAAATATAAAAAGAAGACACTTCCTTCTAAGGATGCAGTTGAGATGAGCAAGAAATTCCTCAAAATTTACATTTCAAGTGGAGCCAATAAGTGAGAATATTATTGTCGGGTGGACTTGTTCTTAAGTTCTTGCAGCTTGTCTTGATGCAGGATTTTTGTATGGTGATGCTGGAACTGATACACTTTCTATTTGGGGAAGTGAGATTATTTTAATGAAGCTTGCGTTATTCGAGATAAAAATACAACATCTTTTGAAGCGTGGGAGCGAAGATTATATAATGATTCGAGAAAATAAGAGTGTAACTAGGAGTTTGTGATGAAGATATGCACTAGAGATGCTAATTGCAAATGACATCCAAAATAATTAAAGGATGAATTAGTACCAAACTAAAGTTTTTTTTTAAATAAATAATGGTGGTGGCACAGTGACAAGGATAATAATTTAGAGCATAAGAATGCTACTAAAATTTCAGTATATGAATTGATTACTCAAATTCCTCAAAAAAAAGGAAAACCAAAGACTAACTCACATACACCACTTCGAGATGCCATACGTCTAATTACAACGAACATGAGCAATTATATTTTATTTTGAGTCTCACATGAAAAACAATAACAGAACGACTAGGATAGTATCAAGCATTAACAAACTAAAATCTACAATGACCAAGCCAAGATACAAACTACAATCTTCACAGACTAATCCAAGATACGAATGACCATGGTGCACTCAATAAGTACAATCAACCACCATCCATTAGCTAATAGAGAAAAGCTCCACCTTCGTAATACCTTCCCATCGTGTCAAAGCTTCAAACATCATTTATGTCATCTGAGGATCTTGATGATACTACATGGTACCATTAGCAGTGTTTAGAAATATAATGGTCATTCCCTAAGAATAAAAGTGCAACACACATCAATAAAAATGCACTCTAAGATAAAATGCATATGCACCAGTACTTAACGCCAAATGTGCGTATGCATTCTTTGTGTATTAAATCTTTAATGAAAATATCTGAAATAAGAAGGTTTCAAATAGCTTCCAGCATAGACATCTTTGGGGCATTTTGACAAACATGTGGCATGCAATCTTTTGTGGTATGACATGAGACAAATTCAATGTCATTCAAAGCATGAGAAACCTTATGAATGGGATCGGAAGCAATTTGCATCTGCACAAATGGGATGAAGATAACATCTTCATTCCTCGTCTACACAAAGAAAGTAATAGAACACATACATACCTCTACATATAGCATCTTCATCATTTCTGAGTGCATCCATCTCAGCCACAACAACCTGAACAACAACTCTTCCCTTCCGCATGTCCTTCAAAATCTTCTTCTCCATCAAGGATGTCTTCTCCAATACTCAAAAATTTGAAGGGACAATCTTCTTTGAAAAAACGAAACTGAATAAAAAAAGAAAAGCAAAAGAAATCATTTGATTTCTAATTTTTGGAGAGTCTGTGTCGTAGCCTCATGGGATTTAAAATCATCCAAACAATTAAATGATATTTGTAATATCACTTTACGAATTTGCCCCTACCAACAAACCATTGCCTATTTTAACGCCACTATTTATTACTTGCTATAATTACTAAGAGTTACAATTAAATCTAGGTAGCTACAAATGGACCGCACGATGCAATTCATCCAAGGATTATAATTCATTCTTATTTTTTTCACTATGAGTCATTCTCACCGGAACCAACCCCTATATATATATATATATATATATATATAGACACACACACAAAAATGTTCGAATAACTAAATACTCATGTTTGATTAGTAAAATATTTATTTTTGAGTAAGTAAACACTTATTTTTGAGCATAATTAAATTTTTAAAAAGTGACTATTCAATTACTTGAAAGTAAATATGCCTTTCTTTGAAGATGAATACTACGTATTAAATTATAGGGAGTAAATGAGAATTGGCAATAGAAACATGATAGAACCCATGGATATCTAATGAGTTGGGATGAGGTGATGAACACAGGGAAAAGGGAAGAGAATCATGGCTGGATCAACGCATCTTCTGTCCACTCATCCATTCTCCACATATTTCCATCATCCTTTCCCCATCTTAAGGTTCTCTCTCTTTCTCTCTGTAAATCTGCATACATACACCTCTGCAAGCATATTTTTCTGATGTTTTATTGTGATTCTGGCAGAAATCAGAGCTCGTTTTCGGCCCAAAAGAATAGAAAATGCGGCAAATCCATTGCATTATCGAGCAATAGCAGAGAACACACTGTGCGGAATGGGCTCTCAAGGAGGGATAATTTAGCGTTGATTGGCTTATCTTCGCTTTCTCTATTCTTCCCTTCTTTAAGTAAGTCAGTTATTTCAACAATTCTTTTTTTTTTTTTTGAAAACTCAACAATTCCTTTTATTTCCTTCTGCTTTTTCTCTCTCTTTTTATTCCCTGAACTTAGTTCTATTCCTCTTTGGGTGCACACTGAACTTCAATTTGCTCTGCTGAATGATGTTAGTAGTATGTTTTTTTTGTTAGAATGGATTGTATATTAAAGTAGGAAATTCAAAGAAATAGTACCAAGGGAACATAAATTGACAAGCCGGAGTTGAATTTCCACTAAGAGTAGGAAAAGATCATGAAATCGACAAAATGAGCTTTTCAATGAGAGGACTGGCAGTACAAGAGTGTAGTGTTAGTGCATTTGGTTCATCTTTTCATTCATGCAATGCATAAGAACATCTTACAATGCTGAATTGGCTGTACAGATCTTAGATAGTTTGCCTAATAGTCTTATTGGTATTTCTTTGTGCTTTCCTAAATACACTCCTATATCACCTTTCCCCCTATATTTAGAAACTCAAGTTTCATTCTTTGTGCATAATACACTTTTTTCTTTCTTTCTATCTTCTGAGCTTCTTGAGCTACTGGTTAGCATGATAGGTCTGTTTTCTATTCTTTCATCAGCTTCAGAGTTCACTCCAGTGATAGATTCACTCTTAACATAGGTAAATGTAGTATATATATGACTATCATTACCATAATATTGTTAGGAACAATTATCGGGAAAAAGTTTCTGTATTGATCTCACCCATTTACAATAAACAAGAGTAGAGTATATATAGAGGAGGTTACTCACACTCTGTGAAGTCACAAGGAAACATACGTCTACCAGGAAATATTGAATATACTCATGAAATACTCTGTAATGTATACCAAATGTTTAGTAATGTGATATTATTCGATAGTCCTTGCGTGATATATATTGGACTCCAATTTTCACTTGCACTATGAGAGTTCATTATGGACCAGACTGTTCTTTTTTGGTTATTTCAGATACATATCATACAATGTCATAAATACATGCAGGCTCAAGAGCTGAAGATGTGAAAATGGATTCATTTGTTGATAATATTAATTCTTATTCCTATTTGTACCCCACAGAGCTTCCTTCCAAAAGATTTGTCTTCAAATGGTGAGCATTTTTTTATGTGGTGATATATATATATATATATATATATCTGTGTGTGTGTGTGTGTGTGTGTTTCTCTGCCATATCAGACTAGGGGAGAAATAAGAGAATTGCATTAGAATCCATTGTCGTGTATGTGTTACCTGATTTTTTTACCTTCTGGGACAAAACAAAAACCTTTATGCAATTCTTAATTTTTTCAAAGTCTTTCACACCACTATATAAGGTGAGATTCCAAACTAGTAGTTCTGAATGCCATATAGAATTTGGTGGTTAAACCAAATTTGCCATTTTTATGAATCTGGTTCTTGTGATCTTGCATGTTATTGAAGCATCTTCAGTGCATGCTTCAAATGTCACTTCAACTTCAAAGTGAAGTAAAAAGTGAAGCAAAATAAACTCCAATGCATGCTTCAAAATGAAGTTATGAAGACGATATGACCCTTTGTGAATGATCTAAACATGTGGCTAGTCTGGCAGAAATTTTTGGGGCGCCTTTTCTAAACCTGTGAATGAAGTATGCTTCAAAATAAACTCCAATGCATGCTTCAAACATGCTTCATCGGTTCACCCTTGGCAGCGGCTCTACACTAACTTCTAGGAAAAACAGAAGTGAAATGAGAGAATACAAGGTTGTAACGGGGTACAAGGCTCCTAATATAAGTGCCACAGGTGTCATATCCAGAATCAAAAGTAATTGGGGGCGCCTTTTGATAAAGGGAACTAAGAATTGTGTGGGGTTTGAGGGCAGTGTCCCTGATTTTTTCAAAGCCAACATTGAATGACTAAAAAAAATACTTCCTTCGTCCTACAAAACTTTTCAAAGACAAAAAAAGGCGCGCCCTAAAAATATGTAGTTTGATATTATTTTCTAATTATGACTCATCTATCCTACACATCAAATCCTACCTTATTATAAAGTAAGTGCAAAATTAGAAAATAATATCAAAATTACTCAATTTTAGGGCGTGCCTTTTTTCGTCTTTGAAAAGTTTTATGGGACGGAGGAAGTATAAAAATATCATTCAAACATACATTCAACAACAAAAACAACCCAGTAAAATCCCACAAAAGTAGGGTCTGGGGAGGGTGTGTGTATGCAGACCCTTCCCCCACATACATTCAAATAATTCAATCATACATTCAAATAATTTGAACGAAAAGTCATAAAATAAAAAAATATACGTTATGGAGTATATCATTACTTAAATTATCATAATATACTCTGTACATATTTCACTTTCGTATTCTATTCCAACGATTATTTGGTCTAGGCTAGTGTTGAATGAGTTAAGTGTTTTGAAGAATGGAAGTTTTTCAGTGACAGATGAGCGTTTTTTTTTGGATTGGGACACACTTGTTTTACTTGGGGCACCCTTTTAATTTACTAAATTTTTTAAATACTGTATAAAACAAGTTAGTTGGGGGCACTCCCCCCCTACTAAAGCTAAGTAGATTTGCCACTGAGTACGATCTGTGAACAGTCCCTAACCCTTGTTTAGTTAATTTCTTGAAGAGACTGTGTTTCTAGTGGTTGGAACCACGACCAAAAAGATACTGAGTAGACACTTGACCATTGGGCCATCACACCAAGCACAATCTTCTTTTTAGAGTAATTTCAATAAAATTAGTTGGAGATAAAGATATTTAAAGTTGATGTTGCCTCATTTTGAAGCTATGCAGTTGGGATGGTGCAGTGACTAGTGAGAGCAAATTAAACTTGAGAGGAGTGGTTAGCTGTGTGTTTAGGGCTCTCAGAGTTAGATAGGTTTTGTAAGGTACTTGCTTTGTGGCCTTCTGTTTTTTTCCCTGTTGGTAACTTTTCTTTTCTCCCCATTCTCATATATGTTTTCTGCTTTTACTTGTTAGACTTAACTGCTCTGTTTTGTCTGTACTTTTCTTTGAGTCGGGGTTCTTTTGGAAGCAACCCCTCTCGCTAGGTAGGGGTACGGTCTGTACACCCTCCCTCCAGGCCTCACTTTTAGGAATTTACTAGGCTCTCGAATATCACTTTCTGTCTTTCTGGGTAGTGGAAACTGGGAAAGTTCTTGAATCTTGATACCTATTAGCTTTCAGGTAGTCTGAACCATAACCGTGTTATTATAAATAAGATAAAGCTCTCTATTCTGCATCTATTCCCGTTTCTAAAGTTGTAAACTTTCTCTATTCTGTCTTTGATCTAACTATTAGGGTTATTCTTTCGTTTCATTTCACCTGCGTACACATTTTGTTTTATTATGCGGTTATATGATGCAAATGATTTCTTTTCTTTTACCTTAGAACGTTAAGGTTTAGTATCCTTACTTTTTCTTCTCTTTGAAGGGTTGAATCCAGAAAACCAGAGCGTTATTCATCAGCTGCGCCACTGTCACGTTAGTTTCCCCTTATTGTTCTTCATGTGCAGTGGCTACATGCTGGAGCTTAAAAACAAACATTCAATTGAAGGATAATTCTACATTTCAACCTCATTCTCTGGGTGTTTTTTTATAAGCATATCTTCCAGCAACACTTTCTTATGTTAGTCAGTATATCATGCAGCTGATGCACGCCTTCGCATTGTGTCTGAAAGAGTTGACTTCAATGAGAACCTAGTTATTTCTGTTATGGTAATTCAGAAGTCTAAGTATTTTTACCATAATCATAATTTGTTTAAAGAACTTAAAGTGAATATTATCTGGTTCAGGTAGGTCCATTGAATTCAGAGTTCCTAAAGTCAAAGGACAAATGTACCTGGAGTGCCAAGGATGTTGCTGACTCTGTTTTATCGGATAAGTTTGTTTTGGTAATTTGATCTTTGTCTGTAGATAGATTCATGAGCATATTTCAGCCTTATTGTTAGAATAATAGACCAACGCTAGAGGGGGGGTGAATAGCGTTTGATCAAAAATCGCAGGAATAAAAATGAATAAACGAGAAGTAAAGAGAAGAGTAAGAGGCACACCGATTTTACCCTGGTTCACCACAACTTGTGGCTAATCCAGCCTCCCGAGAGACTCTCTCGAGCTACACTACTATCTCGTTAAGCTTAACGGTGCTTAACAAACCCGTACAACTTGAGAGTTCGAGTCACAAGAACCTCAACAAACCTTCGAAGGAAACAACCCTTCCTTCGAACAACAAGAGAAATACTTTCTCTTGTCAAGTGTCTAAGAACACTAAAAACTCTCAAGAACAATACTCTCTTTTAGAGTGGATAATGAGTAACTAAGTACGCTCAAGAACGCAACACAAGCTTCACAAAAATGGCTCTCAAAAAGCTATGAAAAAGTGATGAATGATTTGCAATGAAAGAGTAGAAGTTGTGAAGTTATGTGATGTTTAAAACAGACCAAAACACCCCATTTTATAGTGGAAAAATAGGCTCCAACGGA